TTAACAATTTTCAATCTTCAAACACAACCACATTCAAACATATTATAACAATCCTCAATCTCCAAACAACTCCAAATAATGTAAAAAGTAAAGATAAGCCAATATACCTCGCGCGAGTGAATTAATCGAAAATGAGGCTCGTATCGGTGTTGTCGATTCACACCGAAGTAAAGATTGGATCGACTTTTTTTTTCCGAAGTTTTTCGCTTCTTCTTCTTCTTCTTTTCTGCTCTCTCGCGTATGAAATGGAGAGGAAAAGATTTTTTTTTTTATATTTAATATTAAAAACGTATTCTGGGAATACGGCCACCGACAGTTTTATTTGTAAACCGTATTCTCTGAATACGTTTTAATTTAAAAATATATTTTTTTAAATTCTTCTGCAAAACGTATTATGGAAATACGTTTACGGTAAAACGTATTTCCGTAATACGTTTTCCATTTTATATTTGCTATTTTTTTTATATTAGAATAATATATTTAATCGAAGTTTCATTTTTTTTTATTTTTAAAAAAATAGAAGACGTATTCTCGGAATACGTTTTTATAGTTAATTTTTTTTTAGAAAACCGTATTCCGAGAATACGGCTGTTTGATTTTGTTCCACACATTTTTATTTTTTTTTATTTTTGTCTACTTATTTTTTTTTTAAATAAATAAACTGCCCTAAATAATCAACATAAATAATCAACATATTTATGGTAATCCGAACCTAATTATTTTTTGTTCGAAATTAAATTAAAATTTTATTCAAGCCTAATAACGAAGCATGTAATTTTGCCACATAGAATTCTGAAGCACCAGAAGTAGCCATGTAGGCTCAGCACGTTCTGGATTAATAAATTGAGGAGGGGGATATATTATAGAGCTATATGGATGTTTTAACTTTTAAGTTGTAGAAAACTCTCCTAACAATTGTTATAATAAAGGGGAATTTTTCATTTTATATTTTCTTTTTGCTTTTGGTACATGAGGTTTCAACTTTGTCAATATTGGTTCAAAATCGTAAAAAACTATCGATTGCTGCTTCGATAGCGGCTTCCAACTAATCATTAGTAAAGCTTTTGACTCGACACATCGGCCGGTGTCTTCAATTTTCTCCATGTACCTTGAATTTTATCAAAATCGTAGTCGAACTTCTCAAACTTTTTTGCCCACAATGTGTTTCAAAGTTTGACTGAATGCTCTTGAAAATCCCATTGTTAAGTTGTGAATAATAGCACTGTCAAAACGGGTCATGGCCCGCGGGTTGGCTCGTCCGTCCGCCTAAATAGACGAGCTTGGGCCTTTTCTTGACAAGCTCGTTCAATCGTGGGCTTATTTGGCCCGCCCCATTCGGCCCGCGGTCTAAAGCGGGCTGGGGCAGGCTGGCCCGTGATCCAACCCGTTTTTTATTATTTATTTATTTGGTAATTTTATATTATTTAAATTTAGTATTTTTTTTTATTTATTTAGTATTATTTGTCGTCTTTTTTTTATCTTCTTCTTCTTTCATATTTATTTATTTTATATTTTTTAAAATTTGAAATGATATTAAGATTTGTGAATGCACATGAAACACTTTTTTACATAATAAAAATATTAATGAATCAAATAATATTTTATGTGAATTAAGTCTCTCATCCGCATGAATACCCTATAACTATTCATAAAAAAAATAAAAAATAAAAAACAGGATGACAAATATTTAACATCATTACACATGAAGCCTTACTAATTTATTAATATACTAGTAATTATAAGGATAAACAAATCAAAAAGTATATAAGAGTACATAATACCAAAAACCCGCGGGCGAGTCGATTTGGCCCGCCACGGGCCATGGATTTCCCAGCCCGTAGAAATATAGGCCATTTTAGCCCGCTCCGTTTGAACCGCTGGCCCAAACTGGACCGACCCATTTGACAATGCTAGTTGTGAAATATAAATGTATGGGAATTTAAAATAAAGAGATATATACATACAATATTTATATTTCATTTGATTTTCTCTAGAAGAGACAAGGGCGTTGGACGGGCAGCCCCACGTGGCTTTAAAAATCCGGATTGTGGACTTTTATCTAGCAAACCCATGTGGGCCATTGACTCAAGAAATTCGTAACAAATGGTCCAAACCAAAACCCACGTGAGTTTTTTGCTTTAATATACATAATATTTATAGTGGTTGACGGCTATGTTTAGTAGACAAATAAACTAGTTAATAGCTTATTTAGTTAGTTTATTTAGTTAACTTATAATAAACTCACTTCAAATAAGCTCCGTTTAGTATGAAAAGTTTTTTTTTTAAAAAAACTCGAGCTTATTTGATAAACTTTTTTGGGTAGCTTTTCAAATAAGCTCGGTCAAATTTTTATTTCGGCTAGTTTATCAGTTAATTTTATTAAACAATTTTATCATATAAGCTAGCTATTTAGGTATAAGTCATAAGCTATAAGCTCAAAAATTACTAATAAGCTATAAGCTAGCTTATCTGCTATCGGCTAGCTTATCAATTAGTTTTACCAAACATGACCTAAACACTTGGCAAATCATCTACTATTCTGGCTTGGGAACAAAATAAATTAGCTTATAACTTATTAGGTTATTTTATAAAAATACTTACATAGTTTTGGTAGGACGAACTTTGTTAAAAAACTTGAGCTTATTTAATACTTTTTTGGATATATTTTCAAATAAACTCGTTGAAATTTTTATTTCAGCTAGCTTATCAACTAATTTTACCGAACACTTTTATTTCAGCTAGCTTATCAACTTGAAAATCACTGATAAACTATAAACTAACATCTTTCTCATTTTTTCGTCATTACTAAAAACTGGATATAAATATAGTAGTTTTGGTATATAGCCACAAGATGATATGACATATTCTGTCAGGGGTTGGTTCATATATAAACTAGTTTTGATGTGAGAACCGTGAGAATCAAAATTGATGCTATCTTTAATTGTGTATAATGTTATTTTTACTGTTACATGGTGTTATCATTTTCACAAATGTTAATATGAATTGTATTGCTAATTTTAATAAAATACACCATAGTTTTTTTTTTTGTACAAAGAAAGAGGCCACATGCCTAGGCTAGTACTCCTTGGGGTATGACACCCCAATATTATCATGCTCGATCCATGCTCCTAAGCCCATGGGTGGGGCGTCAATGCGGTGCAGCCCGAGCGGATAGGATTCTACTAGACTTGTCATATGATCGGCTGCGAAATTTACTTCCCTGTGAACGTGTTAGACCTTGACATTCCAGTCTCTGTTGACCATACTCTGAATCGACATAACGAATGCTTCATGTGGACCAAGATCGCCGTCAGAGTCACATACCATCTTTTGTACAAAAAATACACCATAGTTAACAATAGCACTAAAACAATTTACAATTAAAAATAACGGTTCTCACAGTTCTAACAGTAAGACTTAATTATTATTTGAACCACATCATATTTTGTCATTCATAATAACTCACAAAAGTATATTAACATGAGTTATACAATAGACTACTTTAGACAAATGTCAGTATTAATAAGAATTCATATGGTTCTATACAAGTCAATCGTTGTTTCTAAAATATCTATAAAAAATAGAGACACCTTGCATATGCATAAAGTTGAATCGTGTGTGTTATGGATGAGGTATTACTAAAAGTTTTTCCTCACATGAAGGATCAATGAGCTATATTTTATTGCACATTTTAGATCGGTATGTTCACGCAACTAGTACAGAGCCCGTGCGGTGCACGGGGTGCACAATTTTAAGGTTATTTATCCAACCTTATAATTATATAAATTAATAAAAAAATATACGGGATATATATAGTACGGGACCGGTGAGAGACACGAGATATATTTATTTAGGGAATATTATATTATAAGATGCAATATTCAATAAAAGTTTTATACTACGCAGGAAAATTATACAATAAAATAGTATCTGACAAAAAAAAATCATATATTATTAAAGACCTCCTTGTACATAGATATTAAATTTATTTATTAGTAAAATAGTGTATAAGTTTATTACAATAACAAAACAACATGCTCACGGGATTAGTAAAAATATTCCATGGATTGAAGATTTAATGTGATTAAACATTTAAATTAATTAACTTAGATAATTCAAAAGCCTTCCAACATTGTTTTGACTTTAATATATTACAACATGTGTATACTTTAAATATATTAATATTTAAGGAACTTTAAACATCATTATTTTTTAAAAAAATTATTTTAGGGAAATTTAAACTGCATAGTTACGTAACTCATAAAACAGATTATATTTCAACATCATAGTTATAGTATTATTTAAGGAACTTGAAACAACATTGTTAAATATTTACGTCCACCCATAAATTTTTTACAAGTCGAAGGTAATTAATCCCGTTCCTTTTTTATTTGTTTGTTTGTTCAAATTTTTTGACAAAAATGATATCATGGATAAAAAAATTTAATATTAAATAAATTAATTAAATAACATAAAATAATATGTTTTAGACATATATAGAATACGGATAATCCTCTCATATCAAACAACGCGATTTCAAAATTGACTCAGATCCAGCAATCCTATTCAATATTTCATATAAATAATTATAAAAAAAAAATGCTTTAAACAGAAATTAGATAAGGAATTTTGAATCTGCCTTTTTTTAGTATAAGTAGGCTTTACGTACATTTTTTGACTTCACCGATTATGGGATTTGTTTTGACTAAATCGATGTTATTATGGAATAAGACAAATAAATAAAGTCTTTTTTATTTTAGTAAATATTTTACGTACATTTTTTTTGACTTATTGGATGTTATGAATTTTTTTTTTCTTAAGCCGGTTTTTATTTTAGTAAAAATTTTAAAGAATAACTAATATAATTTTATTATATAACCATAAATAAAATCATTTAATGATAAAATTATTTAATGATGTGATAATTATCTTTTAAATGATAAATAATATTATTTTTTAAAAAAATATTAGTTTTATATAATTAAATAAAGGTTAAAAAATATTACTCGACAAATATTAATTATGATAAATATCAGTAAAATCATTGCATAAATTATTTAAAGAAAAAAATATTTAAGATCATATCTGGATAATAAATGTAAATATGCAAGCATTTAATGCATATAGTAAAAAATTTCCAAATAAGGTATGCATTAAATGTGTGTTGACTTTTCTTGCTACTATTTTTGGTAAATAAGTTGGCTTTTAATATATATATATATAGATTATTTGTAGATATAATATTTCAGCTGCAAGTAAATCAAATCAAATAATTAGCTTAGTATAAAATAGAAAAGATATTTATCTTATAATTTTAAACGTGAAATATCTTTTCATTTGCCAAGGAGATACGTATGTTGAACTATTCTTATCATCTTTTATAGACAAAAATATAATTATAAATTATTCCTTGCATAATACTATGAGACGCGTTATTTATCTTAGTTGTAAATCTGTTTTTATTTGTGAAAGAGAGAGCGTGATTTATTTCCTTAATAATATGGAATTTTGGAAACAAAGAAATCTGAGATAAAATCAAAATACACGCTCAACTTGAAAAAAAGATAAGAACAGATTTGTGATCAAATATTTCCATACAAGTTTTATTTCTTGATCTTATCATATTTTTTTTTTTTCAAAACTGTTTGAATGAGATAAAATTGAAAACAAAATACACTTAATTAATGCACTTGATAAGATTAGAAAGTCATTAATTATTGTTGACTATTCTACATACTGAAATTAGTAAATAGGTTTGCTTATAATATAAGTATAGATGAGTTATATTTATTGCACATTCTACATTAATATATATGTTCCCGCTTACATCATCTCCATCCAAAAAACTTATTATCAAATTCATTTTACAGTAACTATCACATCAAACACTAATTTATCTTCAACTGACTCAAACTCAAAAGAATATTCTCGTAATATTATCTTTTACATCGATTTTTATTATTCAATATTACTCATATATTTTACAACTTTACAAATTAAATCACACTATTACGTCAACTCAATTTTTATTTTTTTATTTTTTTTTTTTTTTTTGTATTTGTGTATTACTTTTCATGGTTTGTGATGTATATTTATTTTCCGTAGTTAATACATACTAAATCATTTTTTACAAGAGATTGGAAATAACTATGTTGGTGCAGTTGGCTCAAACAAATTGGACCATCTTTGTAATTTTGTTTTCCAAAATAATTGTTATTGAGGCCAATTTAATTTGGCCTAAACTCTAAAAGTGATTTTAAGAAATTGAGACAATTGATGATATCCACATAGGTAAATGGGTTGCGACTTTTTAGAGTTATTTTTTATTTATTTATTTAATCTTATTTCTTTGGATGTTGACATGACAGCACTTAGGCATCACCTTGGAGTGGAATTTCTCACTCCCAAAA